AGTAGAATATTGAAGAGTGAGAGTAGATGAGATGCCCTATAAATAAGTCATGTTATTTGCCAAATATCTCCGTGCAAAATACACTCAATTTGAAGAAAGTCTTCTCAGGTATTAAAATTTACCTATCACAGAGTCATCATATTGATACCCCTTATGTCTTTTCTCTATTATCTTTGTCTCTAAAGTCCTCACACCTATCTCTATTTATAGAGTTTTCAAATCAAATTTCTTGTTGGACAATTATTCTTTAACTTCAAAACTCTAAAATAGAAACATAGTGGGATACACTTTCCTTAAAAAAATATGGATCTTCCAAAACGAAAAAGAAAACTATTTTTCTGCACACAAATTTTGAGCCACAAAACCAACAATCTCCACCTTGGCTCAAAATTCAATATTTACGTACTTCTCCATAGTTCCACCCTGAACAAGGATCTCTTCAAAGCTCCACCTCAATTAAAGATTTTTTCACCTCGAACAAAAACATTATGATAAATTTGAGAAACACTCTAACATTCACAATTACTAATTCCTTGTCTACTTAGTACCTTCTGGATTTTCCAATGCACATTAGCAACATTCCAACATAAACTGAGTCCAGAGTTTCAATTTGGAAGCCCCCTGTCTGAGCAGATCTTGATTTTAAGATTCAAGCTAAAAATTTTGTCCTCAGACTTTTACCCTTTTATCCCATATAAACATTATATTGTTATATTATATTTTGTGCAATAATTGTTATGCTATTGCATACATAATTGACATCTAGGACTAGTGACATCCAATAAGATTAACAATTATCTAAATTTATTATCATGTATCCCAAACACACTGAGATTTGGTGAATGCAATCAAGTTGGAGGAATAAGTGAATATCGGTAGTACTTGCTTAGTTGCTTGTCAGCACAACCATTTTTTAAATAGCTCACGTTGGGACATTTTTATGATTTTAGGTTACATAATTTATGAAAGTATTAGGAATCTGTCAAGAGCACATTTTCATAGTTTTGGCCACTACAATGTGGAAGATAACTATATATGTGTGTGTGTGTGTGTGTGTATAATGAATGAAGATTACTTTTGGCTTCTGCAGTTTAATGATGTTCATCACCATTGATGACGATAAAATAATTTGAAGTTGACCAACAAAGATAATCGCGGGGTTCGTTTTTCAAATTCTAGAATGCAGGAGATGACTTTGTCATTCAGTTGGTGAATGAAAATCATGATCCATCTCATTCAAAGATTCATGATCGACATTTGTGTAACCAACATGATCTCGAGGACGACAACAAATACATCGTGTGACAATTAATGAGGGACGAAAAAATACCCTCAAATATTCAATACAAATTTCATTATTTTCTTATACGATTACAAATATTAACTTGATTGTTGGAGGGTTCTTGGCCGACACCCCACTGTTGCCATTCAAAGTGACATCTTGTTGTTTTGTAAGATATACATAAGGCGGGGCAGGACGGAGAATTTTTAAAACCCTTCCCCGTCCCGTGAAGGGTTTCAAAGTTAAATCCATACTCGTCCCAATGATATAAAAATATTTTTCTTATATACTATTAACGGGACGGAACAGAATGAAACCCCGACGGGATGGTAAAAATTGCCATCCCTTGTTATTGTTTTCTGTCACATATAAGAATGGCTCAATCTTGGGTTCATTTCATCTCCATGTTGTTTTCTAAATAATTACAACTTTCTACAATCTTGTTTAAGGAAAAATATAGCACCAATTCAAAAAATAATCCTCAAATATTCCCTTCTAATTGAGCACTGCTTCCCCAAGAAACCCCATGCTGACGTTGTCATACCCCGAATTCTAAAAACTCGGTTCACGAGAAAGGGAAGGTAAGCCAGACTCTAATCCAAGTTCCAAACGCAAAAGCAAAACATGAAAATGGTAACATGATTAAAAACATCATTGATGGTTCAATTAGCCTTAGAATGGTCCACAATTAATCATGAAGCTACGGAGGTCGAACACAAGGATGCCCAACTGGGCAAGTGTTTGGCCGACCGAACCTGCTCTAAATCTTGCTCGACTGCTCACTTGAATACAGATGGAAAAAATTAAGTAGTGAGGCTCCGTTTGTTTGGCTGTAAAATATTTTTTAAAAAATATTTTTTTATTTTTTAATGTTTAGTTGTCGTAAAATATTTAGCAAAAAAAACATATATTAAAATATTTTTTTAAAAATATTTTACAGCCAAACAAACGGAGCCTCAGTGCAAAAAAATATATATATATTAAAATTTAACAAAAATAATTTATTCATAAATTTTCGACAAGTTCTTTTACATGCCCTACCCGATAGGCTTGACCTCAACCTTAACGTAGACCTTTACCAAATATCGAAAAAGTAAAAATATAAAAATATTTTACCTGGAAAAATATATATATATTTTAAAAAATATATTTTTTGTCTAAATATACGGAGCCGGGGTATTTTTATTTAATTTTTATTTTTTGGGTTCAAATTTCTTCGCACGAACACAAAGTCACAAACATTTGCATTTGTAGCACCAATTTCTAGCTATGTAGAATCAGGAGAAAATACTAAAACGTCGAAGCCAAATTGAAATCTTCACATCGCAATTATTTTGCAAGGGATACTGACAAAAAAAAAAAAAAAAAAAAAAACACGAAAGATGGAGTACAATAGTATTTATGGAGCAAGAATCAGCTTGTACTGCCAACATGTTGTGGGAGGGATGTTTCAGTGTAGAGTGTGACAAAATGGTACTGCAAAAAAGCACCAAAAAAATGAATTTTTTGGGGGTTAAATTTTATTGTTGTTCATGTTGTAAAATAGTTTTTTTTTCCATCTCTTTTTGTACATTTTTCATTACAACCGAATATTCAACTCAACACCCTTTTCAACACATGTTGCTTCACTAGCTAATCATAACTAAATACACGTAGGAATTTATTTATTTTTATAAATAAAATAAAAAAATCAAATTGAACCTAAGAAATCAAACACTTCTAACTCGAGAGTGATACTAATACCCCTTTGTGAAGAGGCACTCCTTCCAAAGTTACGAGACTGTTTTGTTGAGATATTTTAGAGGGAGTTGTCACACGCCCCAATTATTCTCTACCTGAGCCATCAATAAATCTATTGTATCTAACGCTAAAACCAGCCTTAAGCTCTTACGTTGATTTGAAAATTATCTGGCTAAGTCTATGGCTTTGATGCTTTGGACCTGAATTCTTTTTGAGTGTGTTAAAACAATGTCATTTCGATTCACTTGCAACATTTTACACGTATAAATGACAAACATGACATTGAAACATATCACGCTTGCCACCAACACAACGCACCTCAACACTATAACACCTAGGCATAACACCTACAAAGTTATTATATGGAGAAAGCAACACCGTGACATTTAAAAAGAAACACTCACAACACTTTCAGAATAATATTGTCGTGTGTGTGTGTTGCATTATTGATTTTGTAATATCGTTTGTCTTCCATCTTGATATGATGAGTATTACATATCAATATAAGACGTTACATACGCATCAAAATAATACGATTTGGGAAGAATACATGGATAGGTAGCTCGGTCGTATCCCACCCCATTTTATATCACATAATTACTTAAATACCTCATATAATACTAAAAATATTAAAATATCATTTCATAAACTAAAACACCAAACCGCCACCATTTCATATTTTTAAAAATAAAAAATTTGTTAAATAAGACCCTGGAGGAATTTAAATTAGGAACAGGGTATAAGGGTCTTTTGATAAATGATTTTAAAAAAGAATAAGTTTAACTTTAATAAATGCGGACCAAAAGGCAATAATAATAATAATAATAATAATATGGGGCTCCATTGCCATCCCTCTAGTCCTAAACCCAACCTTATTTTATATATGAAAAGGACTTGGATTCTTGAGATAAATGTTTTTTAAGTTATCCTAAGTTGAATTCGTTGTAAATTGACATTTGACATTTAAAAATTTATCCACGGCTTATGTTAAACTATGTCAACTAATTTAAAGAAATTTTAAAAATTGTACCGTTTTGAGATAATGTAAATTTACCAAAGTTTAAAAATTGAAATAAGTAAAATTCACTATACTTTAACCACGTTAAAGGCGTCCTCTCTCCTCTTTCTCCTTTCCACGTTCGTGGAATATTTCGCACAAAAAATGAATAATATTTCGCACAAAAAATGAATATTTTTTCCAACGATTTTTTATTTCCAATTGTGAATTTATATACATTAAATATTTTAGGGGTTGATACAAAAAATGTATGATCATGTTTCTTTGTTTGGTTTGATTGAAATTTTGTAAACACTCCACGTTTTAGGTTTTAGGGTTGACATAAGATCAATTGCTTGATTATTGTCCTTATTTTTTTGGTGGAAGGTGTGAATATATATATTCATGTTTATTCTTTTCGATTGTGAATTTATATACATTAAATATTTTAGGAGTTGATATGAAAATATGTATGATTTTCTTTGTTTGGTTTGATTGAAATTTTGTAAACACTTTAGGTTTTAGGGTTGACATAAGAGCAATGGTTTAATTATTGCCCTTATTTGTTTGGGTGGAAGCCAGTAAAAAAAATGTGTACTACACATATAGATATAAACAGTGGGGAAGAACATTCACTTTTGACAGAGAGAGAGAGCGAAAAAAAGAAAAGGGAAAGAAAAAGAAGTCAGGTACACTTTTTAAATTTTTTTTTAAAATTAGTTAACGTAATTTAATCCAAATAAAATTTAAATATTACGTGTCAATGTATAATAAATTTAACTTAAAATAATTTTAAAAATATTTAAATTAAAAGATGCAAATCCATACGGAAAAATAAATTCAACTTAAAATAATTTAAAAAATATTTAAATTAAAAGATGCAAGTCCATACGGAAAAATGGTGGAAAAAGTATTACTCTTTATATTCTCTATTATCTTATTTTATTTATAAACAATATAAAGTCTACTTGGAGTCTCCTTCCGGGTCAAAAAAAAGAGAGGGGCCAATCGAATCGGAAAAATCCCCACCTCTCTCTCTCTCTCTCTGTCACTTTACTCATTACTCTCTGACGATCAAAATCGGATTCACAAAGGTATATATACATATCTATATATATATATATATATATATATATACACGTAATCTCATACTTGCACTCTTTTTTTCGGTTTTGATTTTAGAATCGTAGTTTTTTTTTAATCGCTAATCAGCATTCAATCATGATAATTACACTCTATCGTCGTGCGCCTCTTTGGATCAGGGTTTCAAATTTTCTAAACTTTCCGCCAACAGTAAACTCAATTCTCTTTAACTGATTCTCACAGCAGGGCACTCGATCATGTAAGTTTGATATTGAAATTTTTTTTTTTTTTTTTTTTTTTTTTTTTTTTTTTTTTTTTGTAGTCTGATTTGAATTTGGGTTTAGGGTTTTAGATGTAGTTGGAAAGAAGAGATAATGCTTTTAAAGGGTCAATCTCTTACCAATTCTTGGATGTGTGGGATGGTCCTTCTTATGGTTACCACTTCGTTTTTACCCTTTTCCTAAATTCCATTTTACTGGCATTTATTGGATGTAATGGGCCCTTCAATTTTATATATATATGTGTGCGCGCGCGCTTGTGCGTGTGCTAGAGTATTATGATGTGAATGACAATACTATGCTCTGGCTGCAAAATAATATCATTATGCAAATTCAACGTGGATCATTAGGTATACTTTATTATTCATCAACTATGTCAATTGTATGTAAAATGATGCTTCTGTGAATCACACCTTGAACCATCTCTTAGTTAAATATGTTCCTGAGCAGTAGTCATTATAAAGTTTTTCAAGCACCGAAAATTCGTGTTTCGAATATCAGATATAATTTTCTATGTATGTGTGGGATGGTCCTTATGGTCAACAATTCATTTTTTTTCATATGAGTTTTTGATTTTGGGCAATTATGAAGTTATTTTTGACAAAAAAAATTTCCCTAAATAACAAATTTTTGACAAATTCTCAAGAGCTAAAAGTTGTGTTTTTTTTTTTTTTTGGGTACTAGGACAATGAAAACTTCCATGATAGTAGAAAATGAGGGCTTAGAAAAATAATGCTAATTATATCAAAATAGAAAAAGAAACACTGCGAATGCAGTGCGGGCCTGTGCACGACATGAACAAAATTCTGCAGAGGCTCCTCTTGAAGACATGAATTATCAGATATAATTTTTTATGCACGAGACAAATATATAATATTGATTAATATGTTTGAATTTGTATATATGATGTGCATAAATTAATTAGTGACTGCTGCTATTTCTGCTTTCTTGTTATTTTTTATCCTTACTCTACATTCCTATCTGCTACAAAAGGAGTACACTGCATGCTTGACCTGTATCATTTATGGTTATAATATTTATTGTGTCATCCTTGTTGAATAAATGAATCTATTGGTTCTGATTAGGAAACAAAAAAAACAAAAAAAACAAAAACAGAAAGAGAAAAAGGCTACCGTATTAGAAATTCTTTGTTCAAATGAGAAATTATGCTCGTGACGGACTTCTTTAACTGGCATTTAGTGGATGTAATAGGCCCTTCAGTTTTTTGATAGATGGATGTGTGTGTGTGTGTGTTAAGAGTATTATGATGTGAATGACAATACTGTGCTAATAATATAATTATGCAAATTCAACAAGGATCATTAAGTATACTTCAGTATCCATCAGCTATGTCAAAAGTATGTAAAATGATACTGCTGTGAATCACACCTTGAACCATCACTTATTTAAATATGTTCCTGAGCAATAGAGTCATTGTAAAATTTTTCAAGCCCTGAAAATTCGTGTTTTGAAAAATTTCTCCATGGATGCAATGAGAATGATAGTTTTTACTAAGAACTATGTCTTCTGTACAAGTGAATGCATCTTTTTTTGAATTTAATTCCTGAAATTTATAAAGAACAAATTATCTTACTCAACAAATGAATGAACTGAAACTTATGTAACAGACCTGAATTATGGCCTATACACAGAAACAGTCATTTTATACCCATAGTAACCACTAGGATTAACCAAGTGGGTAATCTATGCTTTCTTCTTTTGTTATTGTTGTTATTTTTTCATATTGCCTCTTAAAGATTTTGAAATGTCATTGCAGTTCAAGTAGCAAACTAGATTTTGCAATGGATCGAGGAAAGAGGCTGAATAAATTCATTGGCAGCAGTAACAATAAGATCTACATGGATCTGAAAGACATAATAAGGGAGCACACCCTTCCTTTCCTTCCTGCAAAGTCACTTTTCAGGTTCCAAGGTGTTTGTAGGGACTGGAAGCTTCAGATTTCAACTCCCTTCTTTGCCCACAACCAGTCTCTTTCCTTCCATGCTATTTCAGGCTTCTTTTTCCAGTCCCCTGCGGGCTCACCATCATTTGTCTCCATTGACGCTAAGTCCTGTGGTGTACCAGACCCATCTCTGAAGTTTTTGCCCGATCCTGTTGACATCGTGGGCTCTTCAAATGGATTACTTTGCTGCCTGGGGCTTACTGGGGATAAGGCCTACTACATCTGCAATCCTGCTACGAAGCAGTGGAAGAAACTTCCAAAACCAAATGCTGTTCATGGGCCTGATCCTGCTATTGTCCTCGTCTTCGAACCATCGCTCTTCAACTTTGTGGCTGAATACAGGCTGATTTGTGCTTTCCCTTCTGCTGATTTTGATAATGCAACTGAATTTGAGATTTATTCTTCTACAGAAGGATCTTGGAAAATTTCAGGGGAGATATGCTTTGCCAGCAGGAAGCCTATGCCGAGGTCAGGCATTCATGTTAATGGTGTTGTTTATTGGCAGTCCAAGCATAGTGGGATTCTTGCCTTCGATCTCAAGAAAGAAAGATCACAACTCATCAAAGGCTATTATGGTGTCAAAGGTTCCTTGGGAGTGATAGACGGAAAGCTTTGTACAGCTCATGCAACCGGTCGTGCAATATCGGTGAATATGTTGTCTAATGTGTACTCTAACACAATGGAAATGAGCAGCAATGCGAGGACATGGGAAGAGAAGAGTCGCATCAATTTAGACGCTGCAGTAGTTGGTGAGCTTTCATTTGACGAGGCAATGGTGGTGTTCGCAGGTAGTAATAAATTGTTTGTTCAGTCCGGGAAAAGACTCATTTCTTATGACCTGAAGACTAAAGAGACTGCAGTCCTGACTCATGCAGTTGAGTTGAACATGAGGTGTGTATCTTATGTGAATAACCTTGTCTATATCTAGTTAAACCCCTGCTTAATCGGTGTCTTACTCGTTAGAAACTGCGTTTAGTCATAAAAAAGTTTGAACTCTGAGAAGCATCTCTATGTTATAGAGTAATAGTTGTTTGCCTTACAGAGATGGCTGGTTAGGAATTTTTGGGTTTTCATGTCAAAGGTTTCCTACTAGTTTCTGGGTTGTCATCTATTACTGTTAATAGACCTTTTCTGAATCTATATCTGGCTATAGCATGATTTCGGGTTTTGATTGATGTGAAGTGCATTAAATTATTAGATGGGTTTTATCTTTTAAGTAATATATTATTCTTTTGAATCACAATCATCTGCTGTCCCATTTTAAATGTCGTAGGAACTGTTGACTCATGAAAATGGAATTTAAACAGTTGAATGCACGGATGATAAATAGTTAGGCTATGATTGAACCCCGGCATTGTGTTACAGTGCTTTTTGACAGTCAACCATTATTACTAAATCATGAACTCGTACAAGCTTGTACGGCGAAATATCTAACATCCAATGCAAGTTTGGGATCACCTAATCCGTGATTTTGATTCGGGATTGAAAAAAAATTAGTTAAAATTTTGAACTATATTTAACATAAATAGTACAAGGATTTTTCTTTTTAAATGTTTGCCTGCATCAACTCATTTATAATCAGGCATTATAATTTCTCAGCAGGTATATGTTTCATATAAAATAAACTTTGAACATCATTATTTTATTTATTATTATTTTTTTTAATATAATCTTACTTATCAAAAAAAAAAAAAAAAAAATTTAATGAATATTGGCCCTCTCTCACTCTCTAGCCTTTTCTTTCTGTTTTTCTCATTTCTTATGTGACCAATATTAAATAAAGTTTTTAGATTTGTGCTATGACCATTTGTATTGAGAATGATATGTTAGTGGCGTGATAGGTAGATAACTGGCAATCGGTAAGGGTGTGTGCGCGTGGCGTTGAAGATAGATTTTATCCAAATCACTTCATTCTCATCTTTTTAATCAAATTCTATAAATGTTAAGATTTAATTAAAAGCGGAAGGAATAAAATGGATATTTAGTCACATTCTCTATGCAGCAAATTGTTGACATGTAATTAAATATGTATGTGTTTATATACTTATTATATCTAGGAAATTTAATTCTACTTTGAATTAAAAGTAAAAAAATTCATTTCTAACGCTGAGACCTAATGATGACTTGGAGGGATCCATTTTTGTCTGCGATGACATCATGTGCCAAGTCTTTGCATTTCTACCTTGTGTATTGTTTGAATTAAAAATTAATTTAAAAATTATACTAAATTGAATTATCAAATAACTTAATCTCACTGCAGTAGATGAATTATCCGAGTATTTTTCAATAGACCCATGTCTTTGGTTTCAAAATTTTCTTCTTCCTTCATTTTATCCACCCCGTAATCTGCATATGCATCACTCAAATAAAGGTTTGTATATTGTGTATATATACGTATGCAGAATCGCAGATGAAAAAATATATATAGAGAGAGAGATATATATATTATTTGTCCAATAAAAGAAAGAAAAAAACTGTGATATTATTCATTCCCAAGGGTTGTTATTCTTTGGTTCTACATTCTTATTTGGAAATTATAAATTGACTTCGACGTCTTTAATTGAAATAGCTCTTAAGAGAGTTTTATTGATCTAAAGAAGAAATATAATTATGAGGAGGAGAGAATGTTTAATTTGCATATGGTTTTTCTTGTGTTATAATTTTTTATGTTTTTAAAAAATTAGATTTAACAAATTTGTTAAAATCTAACAATTTTATCAAGTTGTCATCCTAATCAAGTAACCATTTAAGGTCCTCAATTGTCTTGCGGCCTTTTCAAGATCCTATATGATTTTATGGCTTTTAATCTTTAGGTGTGCGTGTGTGTGTATCTATATATATATATATATATATATATATATATATATTATAGTAGTGTTCAATTGTTCTCTGGGATCAAAAAGATTATATACTCACTTTTAATTGTAGTTTTAGGATCTAATCCTACGGCAATTAGTTAATTAACTTTTCTTTTCTTTATTTTAAGAAACTTACTCTTTCTTTCCATACCATTAAATATTGTTAAAGGGAAATAATAGAACTACACAATTTATTAAAGGAAATAAGAATAAAATAATTTGGCTACTCTTTGTCTGGGTTTCTCTGTCCTGTAAAAAAACTCTTTCCATCATTATCGGTTGTTTGTTAAACAAATTTGCAAACAGCAATCGAAACCAAATAAAATTAATCAAAAGAGGTATATAAAATGGCCATGAAATAAAGATTGTTTGAGGAGTATCAATTATAATCTAAACTCAAATTTTAATATTGATCCATGTTTTATACTCAGCTTAATTAAAGATTGTAAATTTGTTCAACAATTAATTTAGAATTAAGAGACGACTATTGGTTTCATAAATTTTTTAAAAGGATCCTGCAAAACAACTCTTAATATATTATTATATATCCATCTAAATATTCTTAGTGTCCAGGTCCTTAATTTACAGGATTCTAATGGAGAATTATGTTCTCTATTTATTTAAAATCATTTAGGTATATGTTTTCTTGATTTCATGCATAATTTATTCTATTGATAAAAGTGTAGGAAGAAACTAAAAATGATGACTTTTAATTTCTAGATTAATTTTACTGTGTCAGTGGCCAGTTTGCGAATTTGGCAAAAGAAAAGTTAATTAACTAATTGTCGTAGGATTAGATCCTAAGGCTACAATTAAAAGTGAGTATATAATTTCTTGTTCCGGGGAGCAATTGAACACTATTGTATATATATATATATATAAACACTGGTTCAGGAAAACAGGACATTTGCTTAACAGCATTTTTACTGCATGTTGCTACAGTAGTATTTATAACAACAAAATTGTAAACAGAAATGACATAATACAAATAGTATTGTTAAGAGTCCTATAAAATAAATGCAATTAATAACTATTAGTGAGTTAATATAAATATAAAACAAGTATTATATATTTAAGAAATTGGCAAGCAACCTTTTGTCACATCATTTAAAAAAAATTACATACAATTTTGTCTATACACTCAGACTCGAACCCCCTCCTAATGGAGGGGTTATACCATTAGCACAACTTCAACTTTTTGTTCTTTATATATATTTTGGACTAAATTAAGCAATATCTTAAAAATTTATAGAAAGTTTAGGTACGTTTATTTAGGTCAGAAAAGCACAGCTTTCTCCAATCCATCCAATAACCCTTTTTTTTTTCTTTTTTTTTTTTGAGTGCATGATTCACATGAGAATACCCTATAAATAATTTTTTTCATTTTTAAAATACACTAGCTAGATTCATGCTCTGTTTTGTTAGATAGCAATTAATTGTGAAAATTGAAAGTTAAAAATAGTGAAGTGAATAAAAAAAAAATTCGATTCTGGATTAACTTGATTATTTTTTTTTCAAAAAATTTATAAGAAATTACCTTTTTATGGTTTTAAATAACATAAAATTTACTACAAAGTAAAGGGCATTACAGTAAGTTCAAAAAAAAAATTTCAAGAAATCAAAAATTTTCTTTGTATTTTTGTAGGAAAATTCTATGACAAAGTGGTTATGGAAATAAATTTTCTTCAAAAATTTTCATTTGACCAAAATTCTAAAGTGTGAATTATAAAAATTAAAATGCAACGAGCATCGGATAGGCAACCCTATGACAAATATACCTCATGAAAAAATAAATAATTAATTAATTAAAATCTCAAATTTATCGAGAAAGGTTCCATAACTTAGCTAGTAATTTAATTCAATTCTAACAGACATAACAATGAATTTATAATTTTTGTGAACTTTATAATTAGAAATTTAAAAGATTATGAAAATTAGTAAAAGAATTTATATATGCTTCAAAAAAAATTAACAATATCCAGTTTGACATATATATAACTCTCAGAACTGTGAAAATAGGTAGTGAATAGGGGTAAAATTGTCGTCGTAGAAATGTTTAAGATTGGACCCACAAATGGGCCAATAGATATGGCCCACGTATTAACCTTTAGTCAAGAGTCAAGGCTTTAGGTGACTCTGCTGCGAAACTGTACCGAAACTACGTGTAATTTAAACGCTATGCTCAACCGTGTGGCCTTTCTACAAAGAGCAACCACTTCTCTCTCTCTCTCTCTCTCTCTGATCGTTCTTGGCGTTAGGGTTTTGAATCTCTCTCTCTCTCATCGTTATCGTCTTTAGGGATTTGCAGCGACTGTCTCTCTTCTGATTCGATTATCAAAGTTCAGCGATACTATACAAATTGAGGGTGAGTTTTGATCAATTTCAAGAACGACGTTTTTATATTCAAGAACAGTACATGGTGTGTGTATAAAATATTTATATATCTTTAATGCTCTGTTCTTAGGATTGTTTGAATGATCAATGTGATTTATATATCTTTAATGCTCTGTTCTTAAAATGATTGAATGATCAATGTGATTCTTGTCAAGTTATTTCCATTTTTTATATGGTTCAGAGTTCGGGCATAGTACGGCGAAGTAAACTATTGGAAGTCTTTGTGCGATTCTTTAACTTCTCTAGGATTTAATAGTAGATATACGCTATATATACACACATAATTGTGTAATTGAAGAAGTAGAAAGATTTGATCTCCTGGTTTCTTGAGAATGATCTTCACTTTATGGTTTTCACTGTATTATGTTTGTTCTTTTTCATTCTTTCTTTTCATTTTTTTTCTCTTTCTTTTATGGGAACATTAAATATGTTAACAGATTTATTCTGTTTTTGTGTTCCCTTTTTTTTTTTTCAATTTCCTTTATTGGAACATGAAATAAGTTCAGAGATTTGTTCTGATTTTATGGCCATCTTCGATTTCATTTCCTCGGTTTCCATAATTTGTTTTATTCTTTTGTGTATTTGGGTAAATTTTTTTTGGTTAATTTTGTTGACTAATTGCGACTAGATATTTTATTGGCTGCGAGCTTTCTTTACCACAGAATGTCGGTTTAAGGTGTGAAACCACACACAATATGTTGAATTACTTTGGCTTTTTTTTACTATCTTATCTTGACTTGACTGACTAAAAGAGTCTTTCCTTGAAGCTTCTTCGTATTACTGTGGTGTTTTCTTTATATATATATACATATATATAAAGGTAAAGATAATTACTATGCTGTTGTTCTCCAACCTGTACATTTTTTTTTTTTTTTCATTTCTGGTGTGGGTAAGTTCTTTGATAGATGAACTAATCAATTCATTGTTTGATTTTTGCAAGCATTCTTTAATGTTGGAATCATTCTCTCTCTCTCTCTCTCTCTACCTTTTCGATTTCAAGACTGATGGTAGATCAATTGGGAAAACAATTTTCAATTTTACTTACTGTGTTCAATTGATCGACTTTTGTTGAATCAGTTATTATTGTTTACTGCTCATCTTTCTATTATAAAATTTTGATCTATGGTTGACCATTACTATTTTACTATTTTTAGGGTTCATTAATTGCTTTTTTTGTTTTAATCATGAGATGAGACCTCTTCTTTTCAAGTTTTAAAATTGATAGTTGTTGTTAATCATTTGAAGATAGTAAAGGCACCTTGCAGTTTGTAAGAACTTCAGAAGATAGATATTGTTTCATTTTCTGTTTTTGCTTTTTTCTTTTTCTTTTTATTTTTTTCAACTTACACAACCCGAAATACTAGCCCTCTTTCGAGTTGAGATCAGCGCCACTCAACCCGAAATCCCAGCAGCTAATCCAAAATCACCTACTTGATTCACAGGCATAGCTTTATAGATGCTTTATCTGCCTGAAGTTGTGTAATCAACTTTCTGATAAGATCTAAAGTTTAGAACAGACAAAGCAGTTGTATTTCTATAAGGTGTTATTGTTAATGTTCAATCATGCCTTTTCTTTTTCTTTTCATTTTTTTACCCTTTGCAGAGGTTATGCATATCATCTGTAAGTACTTTAACTTTGCTTTACATGGTTTACAAATTAAATAATGCTAATTGAAGTTAGTTTCTATTTTTGGATAATGAAGTTTGAGGAAGACGGGATGGAGTATACTGATGATGATTCCTATGTAATGGTCGGTGTGGAAGATTTTGCTCTTGCTCTTTCCAGTACTGATTCCGATGCAGAATCTTCTGCAGAAAGAAAACTTAAGACAGAAGGATCAGATTTATCTGACATAGGCAGTTCGGACGTGGACAATGATGAGGAGCATTATTTGGACATGGAGGATGGCATGGTATGCTTTGAAGATCCTTTTCTCTTTTTCCTTTATAATCTCCTGAGTTCTACACTAAAATGTGATTGATAATTTTGGGAATTAGTGATAGGCTGCTGCTTTACAGAGCAAAGCTGCTTTGGAAGTTAGATATAGAAGGGTCATTCATAAAGTTTTCAGAGGTTTAATTTTAGAAGAGATGAGTTCTTTTTTTATATATAAACATAACGAATTTTTGCAAATAGATGCTGGTTCACTGAAAGAAATCCAAAAATTGAGGTCATTGCTAAGACTAGGAACACTTATAAGCTTTTTTCAATTAGTTGTAGTTGCAAATGAAGCTCATTGCTTCTCTATGAACACTACTTAAACATTGATTTTGATTGAAATGATTCTTGTGCCATTGAAAGGAATGGGTATGGGAAGAGGAGTGGGTTTAGAACTCTACACTCGGCAAAGAATTGTTGTCGTTAATCTGCAAAGAAGAAGGGTATTGGCATTTTACAGGAATTTGGTTGAATAAAACTCTTACAGATTTAGTTTTCTCTCTCTTCTTCTTCTTCTTATTATTATTATTATTATTATTATTTCTCTATTGCTAGAATTAGGAGCATGTTATACTCCGCAATATAGTCCTAGGATGTTTATTTTCATTTCGACTTCTGTAGAAAATGGAGTGGCTGTTGTCTAATGCACTTCCGTATCTGCCCTGAGAAGGAAAAAGGACTGTCTCTTTTGTGTATGTGTGTGCTCGTTGCGCATGGCATGGTATATAGATTCTTTACTTTTTTATTTGATGATGCATGATTTTTTATAAAGTCATCCAACATTTGTTGCTTCAGTATGATTTTTAGTGTTTCTCCCATATCACGAGCCCATATACTATATAAATATATCCTAAGCATGCTAATAGAGCATGATGTCACAATGCTGTTTTAGTAGATTAAAGGATTAGAAGAGTTCGAATTCAAGTCACCCTATGAAATGATTTTCTGGAAAACTGAGCATTTTTAAAATCCAATAATTTGCACACTTTTGCTTCTTTCCCTTTGTCACACATTTGTGTTAGTGGGCACACTGATGAACTTTTGTAGCTTATGCACACATTTTGATGCATTTGTGCTATCTAATTGATCTGCAATTTTAAGTTGAACACGTCGTTGAATATGTATCATATAAATACATGGCAATTTTTGGCAACTAACTAGTCTATTTTTGCTGTTTTGTGCACTCTGGACTTGTTGTTTGGCCCCTTGCGCGTAAGGAAGAGGTTCCTCCTTTTGTGTAAGGAGGCAAGTATTGTTCAATTGATAATAGAAGCATTTGTTTTATGCGGATCATGTCATACATAACTGAAGGTGATTATTACCTAAGTTTCATGTGTTTGAGTATAGGGGTAGTCATGAGCTTTTGGTATTGCCTAGCAGCTTAGGTAATGGATGATGACTAGAAAATACCTTTTTTTTTTTATGTTATGCATATTTCTTTTCAAAACCAAAGATATTTTCCCAGTTCACTAGGAGAAGTCCAGAAGAAGGGAAGTGAAACGCTTCTATCATTGCCGGCTTCTATCATTGCCGGCTGTACTCTGTTTCTCTAGGCAACAAAACTCCCAAGTTAAATAACTGGATGGGGGTCAATTTTGAGCTCAGATTTCTTCACACGTTCAAGAATTAGATTAAAGAATGGTACAGGTTCATGTTTCTGTTGCTTAAGGACTCATGTTGGGGCCTGATTTTCCTATTCGTTAAATGTTCTTTTATGAGCAAAATGGGAATCTTTGTGAAATTTTTGTCTTCCATCCTTGGTAAATGGTAAATTTCTGATCTTGTTGGAAAATTTTGTAAGGATTCTAACACGCTTTTTTTCCATGGATTGCAGAATGAAAATTTTCAAACTACAGTTGCTTGTTCGGATGAATATTGGAGGGTTCATGAATTTCCAACACACATCAAATTTAAGGATGTCATGGAGATTAAAGATGTGGTGAAGGATCACGTTCTTGCTTTCCTTCCAGCTAAATCAGTTGTCAAGTTCAGAACTGTTTCCAGAGACTGGGATCGGTGGATAGCCAGTCCATTTCTAGCACACAAGCAGGCTTATCTGTTCAGAGACATATGTGGGTTTTTCTGCCAGCATCCCACCAGCACTCCCACTTTCGTGACACTCGATCACTCTTGGTGTGGGATTCCTAGTCCTTCCCTTCAGTTCTTGCCCGAGTCTGTTGTAATCAGAAGCTCCTGCAATGGCTTGCTTCTCTGCCAAGAACGTGATGGTGAAAAAAGCTACATTGTTTGCAACCCTGTGAACCAGGAATGGAAAGTGCTTCCCCATCCTAAATACTGTCGTGGTTCTGAACCAGCCATAGTACTTGTGTTTGAACCTTCTGAAATGAACATTGCCGCAGATTTTCAGGTTATCTGCGCTTTCTACTCGTTGCGTGCTCCGCCAATTGTGTGTTTTGAAATATATTCCTCGAAGGAAGGGTCTTGGAGGCTCTCTGCTGCAGAATGCTTGGAGCTTGAAGACTCAACACTGAAGAATGGTGGGTTCTACATGAAAGGATATGTGTTCTGGGCAACAACTTGTGACAACATACTGGCATTTGATATGAAGAATGAGTTTTGTGGGCTTATGCCTCTCCCTCCTAACATAGCACGAAAAGGAGTTCTTTCGCAAATGAATGGGGAGTTATGCTATATTCATGCTCATAAATTTACCGGGAACAAATGCAGAATGTTCATATATGGGGGTATCAATGTGAGCCTGAAGCGGAGTATTGTTATAGATCTTGGCAATGAGCAGGCCACAACTGAGGATGTCCAGGCATTGCCTTGTGTTAATGATGATTTAATGATGATTCTTATCGGGAGTTCAGTTTATGCATATCACGTGAGAGATCAGAAACTTAAAGTCATAAGCAGGCACGGGAATGATCCTCAGGCATGTTACCTGCCATATGTGAACAGCCTTGTCCGTTTGATTCCCGATCACTCTCTCAGTGGTATCCCAAAAAGTTAGTAGCCCCAAGTAGGCTGTGTTTTTGCCGTAGTTTTTTCATGTTTGTGATGAATTGAATTTTGAATTACAACTTTACAACTTCTGCTGCACATATATGATCATGGTAGGTTGTGTTTTTTGCGTCAGATTGAAACATGGTGGTAGTTTTTTCATGTTTGGTGATGAATTGAAGTTCGAATTGCTACTTCACAACTTCTGCTTTGGCCTGCGCATATATGATCATATAATGATATTTTGCCTTGCTTTTCTGAGCACTTTGTTTCTAGAAATTTTATAAGTATGCTTTGTGATGAATTTCCATACACAGAATAGAGTATGATAAAGTGTAGTTTTATGCTTCTAATAATTTGTCATTTCAGGCTTTTGTTGGTTTCGATGTAAATTGTTATCCGGAAAATATTTTCAGTATTTTTCAATGTTTGGTTGCGTATTATAAATGTGAAAAAATGTCTTGCAAAATGTATATCTTCTGTATACAGTTATTGATGTTTGGTTGCATTTCTATTAGTCAATTGTTCGAGTTGTAACATTTGTCAATTCGTATTATACACAATATTTTCTCACAAAAAAAAAGGTCATAGATATGGCATTTGGCTATATATAATTTACCAGTACATATATAGACAAGCTATGTACAGACATCATCTATACTGCCAATTGTATAAGCACACCATTTGGAACCCAAATGCTGAGTTCGACGTTTTTAATATGAAAAACTTCGTACTTTTAAATTCTAGAGATTTTTACTAGTAGAGCTTTTTGTCAATGCTAAAAATTTAAGTAGAAGTAAAAAATACATAGAAAGTACATCACCAAACAGCACATAACAGGAAGTGCTTTGCATAAATATAAAAATAATTTTTTTTTTTTTTTTTAGTTAAAAATAAATAAAATTTGTTTGCTAAGTCACAGCAATACCTTTTTTTTCTTTTTTTTCAACCAACACTTCAAAGCAAGGAAAGAAGGAAAAAGAATAAATAAATAAAGCCGTAAAGTATACTGGATAATTTGTATGAATTTGAATTTTAATTCCACTTTCTGTTACGCTGATAAGCCATTAGATTAACAAATCAAATATAATTTGAATAAATCTGATCAGATGATAAACCAATTTGGCAAAATATAATATATTATTTATTTGTATTTAATTTGTGTCAAAACATTTTCCTGATAAGTATTAATTCTTTTTACCACATGCAACCTACAAAGTTGATTAGAATTCTTATTAGCAAGAAATTATTAAGTAGTCTCCAGGACATGTGGTTAGGATGGATGGGAAAACGTCATCTAATTAAATGATTCAAATGTGTCAACTTTATTTATTTTTTGATAAAAGAAAAAAAAATATACAGAACAAAATAACAACTTAGCTTTATACAAGAAATGCAAATAAATCCTCAACATTTGAAAATATATGCAAATTGGCCCCTAACATCAGTTTTGACAAATATATATATAAACCCTAAAATATCCTTAATATCCCTTAAAAATTGAAGTTTTTTTTTAGGGAATGGGTTGGTTGCACTTTACCCTTCATCTTTTTTATATTTGCATGGGTTTCAAAGATTTTATGAGTTGCATGCCTTATTAACATGACATTTTATTTTGCCCTATTTTCCAACTTTTAACACAAATGCTTTACCAAAAAAAATATATACTTTGAACAAATGCATTTGTTGACACCACGGAAAGAAAACTGACAATTGTAGGGTCATCCCATAAGCGGAGGACAAAACTAGAAAGGTCTCAAAACAAACGTCCAACTAATTAAAAGTCAAACCATCGAAGAAACAGGTAAGACAACACAACAAACTCCACCAAAACTAGAGGTGCTCAATCCAAAAGATTTGGAAAGAGAGAGAGAGAGGAACAGGCACTGCAGGAGGCAGCTGATCGAGGAAGGAAGAATTGGGTACCCTTTCTCGGATGGAAAGCCCAAAATGAAACTACTTCTCTCTCTTTTCTTTGAGCTACAACCCTCCTAAACAACATTTCCTCCAGGTACATTCTTTCTTTTTCCTATTTCCCAAACAACATCCTCACAATTCCACAAACCATAATTCAACAAGAAAACAATCCCAGAAAAATTAGTTAAAATTTTGAATTATATTCTCTCCGATTTCAATTTCAAAGTCACCTATTTGTAGGTACAAATATATCCCTCTATAAATTTTTTTTTTTTTTTTTTTCCAACTAGGTACTATGACATCTAATCCATCACATTGTAAATTTTTTGTTTTTTGAATTTATCAGCATTCATATTGAGAGTGCTGACCTATAGCGAACAAGGTCGTCGGAGAAGTTGAGTTTCCGGCGAGATTTTTTTTCATAAATCTTGGCCGGAAGCTCATTAGCAAATATGGATTCGGCCAAGGATAAATTTCATAAATCTTTGCCGGAATCTCATCCCCAAATGATTTTGCTCGATTCCACCAAAGATAATAAACAACAGTCTTCTCCACCTACTTCACCACCACCAGACACATCACCTCCACCATCATCGCCGCCTCCTTCATCACCTCCGCCATCATCACCACCTCCAGACACATCACCTCCGCCAGCATCACCGCCTCCAAAGGATTCATCACCCCCACCATCATCACCGCCTCCAAAGGATTCATCACCCCCACCATCATCACCGCCTCCAAAGGATTCATCACCCCCTCCATCAACCTCACCGCCTCCAAAGGAATCATCACCTCCGCCATCATCACCACCTCCGTCGTCGTCGTCGTCCCCGCCTCCCTCTTCCCCATCACCGGACAAACCATCCTCGCCACCTCCCGGCTCGTCCCCACCCCCTCAACAATCTTCCCCTTCGCCTCCAAAATCCGGAACCCCACCCCAAAATGGATCACCGTCGCCACCTCCCTCACCGGACTCATCAAAACAGGCGTCGCCGCCGCCATCACAATCACGATCCCCATCTCCTCCCGGTGATGATGGCTCTCCGCCACCAACTTCTGCAAATAGTAGTAGTAGTCCTGCTCCACCGGGGACGGTTTTTTCTCCACCGCCACCACTTTCTTCAGAAAGACCTTCATCTTCATCATCCCCAGGTACATTTTCGCCTCCGTCTACAGATGATGGGGATGCACCAGTGAAGTCACCGCCTCATTCGTCGTCAAATAATTCTTCGAATTCTAGTGGCACCGGGGAGCAATCGAGTTCTAGTTCATCGGATTCCTCAAATAATAGTACTATTATTGCTGCAGCTGTAATTGGGGGTGCATTGGTTCTGGTTATGATCATCCTTCTTATAGTGTGTGTCACCAAGAAGAACAAGAAAAGGTCCTACTACAGGAGTCCTGCTAGTGCCACCTCCGGACCTACTCCTCCTAGAGGTGATAATTCATACTACTATGTACATTATATATATATATATATGTATATATATACACACACACACACACACATACATACATATATATATATGTGATATATGCTGGACTAGTACAATTCTTGAAATGTTGGCCATGTTAGTTGAGGGAATTGTTTCTTTGATGGATTTTATTCCAACGTATAGGAGATCGAGGAGCATCAATATATTATATAACGATTGACATTAAATATATATTGTAGAGAATGATGATTTTTTTCTTTTTTTCTGATTTAATTAAATTTCAATGCATTATTGATGAGAAAATATTGCTGCTGCATTCACATCACAGTTCAATTTTGGGCATAATATATAGTTTTGAATTTTTAGATTTTGATTGAATTATGTTAAGGTGGTGATCAATACGGGTATACCCAAGATTGGCAGCAGTGGAACGACACATCCCAATCTGTAGACCATGTTGTGAAGCTTCCTCCGCCACCAGGTTTGATGGGTACACCCATAGGTACCCATGTTGGTGGGTGGGGTCAACCACCTCCACCGCCGTCGGGAAATATGACGAACGATTATGCCACCTCCGGCCCACATCAGACGCCCTTGCCGCCTCCGTCGCCGCACTTGGGACTAGGACTCACTAAGAACACCTTCACTTACGAGGAGCTAGCGGCTGCCACAAATGGATTTTCTGAGAAAAATCTGCAAGGTCAAGGCGGATTCGGGTACGTACACAAAGGTGTGTTGCCTAATGGAAAGGAGGTGGCTGTCAAGAGTTTGAAGTCCGGTAGTGCACAAGGAGAGCGGGAATTCCAGGCTGAGGTTGAGATCATTAGCCGTGTTCATCATCGACATCTTGTTTCGCTTGTCGGATATTGCATTGCTGGTGAGCAGAGGATGCTGGTCTATGAATTTGTTCCAAATCAAACCTTAGAGTTCCACCTTCATGGTAAGTCTTAATTTACAATCGAATACACACACACACACACACGAACGAACAATTCAATCATGTGTCAATCCTATGACTAATGCATAGTCACATTGAATCATTAATATAATAACTTTAAATGGACAATATAATAATAATACAAATAAATTACATTTTTCATGTTATATATTACTTTGTAACACCTTATTATATGTTACATATATATTGCATTTTATAAGGTAACCGTGTTGTATTATGATATAATGTGGTGTGGCACTAATCTGCTTCTTTGAAGAAGCCAAGTGTTCTCAATTAATATGATATATATTAACAAGTAATATACCTAACTATAATGGAGAATTTTTGGAGAATAATATTTATAAATATATGCAAGAGTACATGTTAGTTTTACTCTATCATTGTATGTAAATTTTCTTGCAATTAAACTTCACTTTGGTTGCAGGAAAGGGTCAGCCGACTATGGATTGGTCGACTAGGCTTCGTATTGCATTGGGATCAGCCAAAGGGCTTGCTTATCTTCACGAAGACTGTATGAGATTGATTAATTCATAACACACACTCACTCTCTCTCTCTCTCTCTCTCTATATATATATATATAATTCTCTCTCTCTCTAACTTGTTGGCTATAACATGTAGGCCACCCCCGAATTATCCATCGTGACATCAAAGCTGCAAATATTCTACTGGACAATAAATTTGAAGCCATGGTAAGAATCTTTATGTGAATTAGACCGTGCATAATGTTTTTTTTGGTTACACATCCAAAGGAAGCTTTTATTGTCCAATTAAGTCTAATTCAACCTTCTGAATTAGAATTAAAAGAAATTTAATTCAAACTTTAAATTGTAAATTTTTTTTAATACTAGTTCCAAATTTTTAATTTGGTATTTCTAAACATAATATAATTGAGTTTGTTTTCATTAAATAATTTTCTTTTCAGGTGGCAGATTTTGGATTGGCTAAACTTAATAACGACAATAATACTCATGTCTCTACACGTATCATGGGCACATTTGGGTAAGTCATATAAATAAAATACATATAAATTTTTCACATTATTTTTTGGTGTTTTTGGTTTAATTTAATTTTAAAATAGACATAATTGTATAAGTATGTATAAAAATTAACTGGAATAGATAAACACATATTATAATACCTAGCGTAGGTGTTAATTGTATCCATTAATATTGTGTTTATGCACACAAACACACACAACATATGTTTATGGTGTTGTCATTATATATATTATGTGTGTCTGTGTGTGTGAGAGAGAGTATAAATATGAATTAATCCAAATGTAAATTAATGCAGGTACCTTGCTCCAGAGTATGCATCAAGCGGCAAGCTGACAGAGAAATCTGATGTTTTCTCATATGGAGTGATGCTCTTAGAACTCATAACGGGACGCCGACCCGTGGATACTACTAACAAAATTATGGAAGACTGCTTAGTAGACTGGGTTAGTCCTTTAATTAATCAATTTATTGTATATCTCTAATATCTAAGTATATATATTGAAATATATATATATATATATATATTAAAATATATGTTATGGAGAAAAAAATAAAGAGCGTGCTTGGTTTGTAATTTTCAAAACAGTTCTCAAGAATTATAAAACAGCTTTCAGAAAACTGAACCAAACAGTTTTCTAAAAATAAAAAACTGTTTCCATAGTTACAAACCAAGCAAACCTGAAGTACTTAATTGTTTCAATTTTGTAATTTTCATGTTTTTGCACTCTAGCGCTAATTTTCTGCGGCCATATATGTATGTGTGTGTGACTAAACAGGCTAGGCCAAGTCTGACTGTGGCATTGGAAAATGGCAACTATGAGGAACTGGTAGATCCAAACTTAGAAGGTAAGTACGACCCCGATGAGATGGCACGCATGTGTGGCTGTGCTTCTGCTAGCATCCGTCATTCTGCCAGAAGGCGCCCCAAAATGAGCCAGGTATGGACCCCTTAGTTGCACGACTCGCGCACACAGAACATGCACGAAGGAAACTACAATGTACGAGAAATTTTAAAAATATAATATCACCAATTAATTAAAGATTGTTACGTAACGATAGGATCAACTTAAAGAGATGAAAAATTAGTTATGCAACAAAATATAATTGTCGGTCACATATGTAAAACAATATCACTGCTGAGAGATGTTTATAACTAATCACTGCTCCAGTCTATTAATAGGATGCCTTACTAAGAATAGGGCTGCAAATTTTTCGAGCACGCTAAATAAATTCAGATTTTTTTTTCTTCCAAAGTTCAAAAAACTTGAAATTGCTATAAATTAAGGATTGAATGATTCCTAGTAAGAGCAATTTGTTCCTATATTTATTTTGAAGAGTGTATGTATGTTTTGATTGCATTAAAATCATGTGCTTAAATGATGTTCATTTGTTACAAATATGTATGCAGATTGTACGAGCATTAGAAGGTGACTCGTCCATGGATGACTTGAATGATGTTGGAAAATCTCGGCAGGGCTCTGTAAAATACGATTCGTCTTCATACGATTCTGACATGTCTAAGTTTAAGAAAATAGTAACATCAAGCCAAGAGTTCGAAAGCAGCGAATATGGAGCCCCGAACGATTCCGGAGTTGATCGTCCATCGTTTGCAAGTAACGAATCCAGAGAAATGGGTCAATCTACAAGAACAAATAAAATGAAACTATAGAGCAACACACACATATATTAACTATGTATATAGGCACAAAAGCATGAGATAATTGAATTAATCCAATTAGATCGAAGTGCCAAAATGTTTAACTGAAGTGTAAAACCGAATTAGTCTCGTTCACTTGATGCAATAAACATGAGATTCGTGCGAGTCCCGCTCTATTTCATCATTTTGATGATAGTGATTCGGTTTTCAACTTTGGTTAAACAGTTAGGTGAAAAATAAATATTTTAATCGAATTAATTCATGTGCATTTTGTGCACGAAATATCTATATTGTGCACATCAAGATGAGTTAATCTAATTCCGGAAGGAAAAAAAAAAAAAGAAAAGAAAAAAAAAAATTTGATCGAGATACTTTGGATGGAATTTCTCCATCAGTTCTATATATAGATTTGTATTAGAAAATGCTTTTACATAAATCATATATATATGTATGTGTGTGTGTGTGTGTGTGGAAGCCAAACTGGCTTCTTTATATGTTGAAATTGAGTGACTTATTCTAGTTTATGTAATTGGGATTATTTTATTAGTGTTTTTTTCTAGTTGTATATAAATTAAATGACAAAAATAAGCAGTGTCATTGAGAGGCTAATTATATCAAGAGATATTCAGTGCAAATTTATTGTAATTGCAATTCAAATGACACATTAAACATAAAACCAGCATGTATCCAGTGTAGTATTGGGTTGGCTCAGCAATTCTGTTTGAATTTGTGAATTGCATTTCTATTATATATATATATATATATGGGTTGAGTGCAAAAAATTTCCTAAACTATTCATATAGTGCAAAATAGTATATGTGTAGTGTAAAACACCCTTATACTATTGCTACGGTGCAAATAGCCCCTGGAGACTTAAAATGAAGATAATACTTTCATTTCACTAGAAAAAAAATTAATAAGTATAAATACATGCCATGTAAAATGACTATTTTTGTCCAATTTATGTAGAATTTTATTTGTTTGGAATAAGAATAGAATAAATATCATTTTTTCCAAGAATAGAATAAGTTAAACCAAATAATTCCAAAATCAAATATAATAAAATACAAACCAAACACTCCCAAACTATATAATACACCCTTAACTTTTCTTTCCTTCCCATAAAAAAAATAATAATAAATAAAATAAATAAATAAATAAAAATTGTCAAAAAATTTAATTTTCCTTCCTTCCAATTTTTTTCTTATTAGTTCTTGACAATTCTTGTATTTAAAGGGGGAAGAGGAAAGAAAACAAAAAAAAAAAACTAAAACATTGACATCCGATATATAGAGAGAGATGGATACAAAAAAAAAAAAAAAAATGGGTGAAAATTTGATTTCTCTTTGAAAAATGATATAATTGTTGACAATATTTCACCGACTCTCGTAACGAGTGGCGGAGAAAGCAAACAAGGGAACACATAATCTCTCTCTCCTCTTTTCACTCTTTCACACTATACCCAATTTCTCATCTCTGATAACTCTATGCTCTGTTCTCTCTCCATCACCCTCGTACTTCATCTTCAATTTTTTGCACAGATTGAGAGTCCAACTCTCTCGTCTCTGCTCTGTGTAAGATTATTTATTTAATTGTGGCCCACATGATTTGGACATGTGACATATTATTTGGTGGGTAAGTAAATAGATATCAATTAATATTATTTATTTTTGGTCAACTTATAATTACCTTTTTAGTAATTACTTATTCGAGAAGCGTTTTCCTTTCTTATTCCTTACTTTGATGAAAAGTAGAATACGTTATTAATAGGAAAATTGGTCCTCTCTCTGCCTTTATAAAAGTGCATATACTCCATCAATTATATACAATTAATGAAACAACACGTAAAAGTTTTATGTGTGCAAAAGGCCAAGAGAGATAAACCAGTTTCCACCTTTGCCTGTTGATCAGAGTTGCAGATTAGTTCATGACCAAAGGATCTGGACGTTGGACTTAATCTCAACAAGAATTGATATCGTGAATCGAGGTATTTATATCTAACTAGTATTTATTTATGCATTATAGATATGTGAAAATCATGAAGTTCTAAGATATGGGATTCATGTAAATTTGTGATTAATGGCTTAACGTGAATTATTATAGTTTACATGTGGTATCAGAGCTAACGGTTTAGGAACTCATTATTTTTCATTAAAGTTGCATAACTAATATGTATAAATTTAAAATTAACTGATTGTATAATCCATTCTTTTAGAATCGTATGTTTAGATCAGTCCGTGTAGTTTTTGGGTTTGGGTACCTCAATTTTCGAGCTAAAATTAAATTATGAAAGTTGGTTACTGATACATAGTTTACATATGTGTAATAGTACAAACGTATGCATAATGTGTGTAAGACAAACAACTTCAATGCTTTAGGTTACTGATTTTCGTGCATGACTAATAAAGAACATTGAATTAAAATAATAATAATAATAATAGCATTTGTCTTTCTATTGTTTTATAGAAACAGTCAGTTGTGAAAGGATTACAAAGACTCATTATTATTATTATTTAAAAATTAATAAATACATAAAGTTTGTGTATTTATTTATTTTATTAAAGAGGTTTAAATTATTGTTATAAGTATTTGTCCAATGATTTGAAGATTCTGATTTTAATTTAAAATAAATTAAAATTAAAGTTATTGAATACATAAAATATATGTATTGATTTATTTATTTTAGGTATTTGAATTTCTAGAATAATTTGTGAGTTTAGAAATTTAATCTAATAAATTAGACATGCAAATAACTTGTTGTTTCGTACCCAAACATACATACATATTGTAGAATCAATTTTAAATTGATTCAATTATGATCTTTAAGTCCGAAAATAAAATAATATATTTTATTATGTATATAAAATAAAAATATATTTTCTATGAAATTTCGGACTATTAAGTTTTTGAGATCGAAGTTGCTTAAACTTTAATCGACAATTATGAGTATGTGTGTATAATGTTAAATGGGTAAATTAATAATTAATTAATTACTAGTTAATTTAATATTCATATTATGTGTGGGTTAGTAGCTACCAAAGTAGCCTAATCATAATGGTCGATGAATATTAATTTTAGTAGTAAATATAACTTAATGATGAATTAATTACTATCTAATTTAATATTCATATTATGTGAAGATTGGTAGCTACTAAAGTGGCCCAATCATAATGATTGATGAATATTAATTTTTGTAATAGACATAATTAATCATAAATTAGTTACTATCTAATTTAATATTCATATTATGTAAAGGTTGGTAGCTACCAAAGTGGCCTAACCATAATAGTTGATGAATATTAATTTTAGTAGTAAACATAATTGCAATATTTCATGAATTATGATGCTTATAATTTTTTGTGATATTCATGAATATTGATTTTATTTAATTATGAGAAATAATTCCTCAAAGGGAATTGATTTTCAAGTGATTAAATAAAAATTAAAGGGTCGTATGTATTTTTTTTTTATTAGGTAAATATAGGATATCCAAAGGTAACTTATTTGTTTAATTAAATAATGCATCACCAATATAGGTATACATATAAATACATGTAAGCATCATTATTAGTATTTTATAATTGACACCCAAAGGGGTACTATAGTTATACATTGTATTTATATTTTTAAGTTATACATACGTGTTGTTAACTCAAAGCATTATTGTTGTTAAGATTTTATCTTATTATATTTGTTTTATTACATCCCTTAATGCGCATGCTACTTCTGTTCTAATTCTCAATATGACTAACTTCTCATAATGAAATGAATAAGTTGAGTTCAAAAATTAGATGTGTTAAATCTTAATTTAACATTTTAATTTGAGAAACTTACTGTTATTACTGATAAAAACAGTGAGGAAGAAAAGATTCTGCATAAAGTTTGGAAGAGATCGAACAGATTAAGTATTATGGTTATGCAAATAATTATTCCTCATAGTGATAGTGCTAAGGAATATTTGATTGTAAGAATGTTTTCGTATTGTAGATAAATATCTAAAACGAAAATTATTAATTGATATAACTACTATGGATTTTTCGTTGGTACCCGTACCATGTATGATCGTATTTTTAGATGACTAATGTTGCTGCAAAATTGAGAACCTTATGGATGATTGTGAATGGGAATTTTCTTATTCAATTTATTCTCAATTTCTTGTTTATTCAGTATGGGTCATTTCGAATTAACACTATTAAGACAAGTGAAAAGTGATTTAATTGACCCTTATGTTAATTTATGAGGAGATAAAACTTAAGTAGTAAGGTAATCATTATGTTCATCTGATGACTCAAGAAGTTAGAAAGAAATTTGGGAATAAGTCAAAAAAGGCAATAAAAGAGCAACACCCAAAATTAAAAGATTTAGGTCAATTTACTAAAAGAAAGTAATATAATAAAGAAAAAGTATCATTAATGTATTGAACACTTTTCAAAAGATTACATGACATATAAAGAATGATTCGAAAAAGAAAAGTACGCTTTTGGTTTTTGTATATTGCGAATTATTTGTTGAAATTCTTTTTAATATATGATAGGTTGACTTAAGTACTAATATTTATATTTCTAATAGATGCAAGAATTTTTTATGACATAAACTACAAATTCAAATAAGAATTTCTTATTTATGATAATTGGGAAAAAAATTTGTTGAAACCATTGTGACACTATGTTTAATGTTAGACAATGGATTTTATTTAAATTATTTTAATGTTTATTCAATTTTCCATAATTTAATTTTATTTCAAAAACTTTATGTTAATGGTTTTTCATTTAAATTTGGTAATGATATTTATTTAAGAAATTATAATTTGTGAGTTATGGTATTATTGTTGATGATTTCTGTAAATTCAAATTTGATGGTTTATTTATTAAAATCCTTTTGATCTTGTATCATAATATTAGAATTAAGCATAGCTCAATTAATAGAAAATTTATCTTTGACATAGAAGACTAGGTCAATATCTAGTGAAAGGTTAGAAAAATTAGTAAAGGATGTGATTCTTCTGAATCTAAACTTTACTGATTTTGATGTGTGTGTAGATTGTATTAAGGGTAGACAAACTAAACACACAAAGAAATGAGGCACAATAAGTACATAGCTTCTTGAAATTATTTGTAAACCTTCTAATGTTCCATCTTTTAGAGGAGAAAAATATTTTATCGCCTTTATAGTTGATTTTTCACATTATGGATATATCTATTTGTTGTATGAAAAATCTCAAGAAGTAGGTACTCTTGAAGTATATATAAATGAGGTTGAAAAATAAATAGATGGAAAAGTGAAAATCATAAGGTCATATAGAGGTGGTAAATATTATGAAAAATATGATGAAACGGGTTAATACTCTAACCGGTTTGTTAAACTCCTTGAAATGTATGCCATTTGTGTTCAATACACTTTGTTATACATGCCACAGCAGAAACGTGTAACTGTAAGGCGTAATCGTACTCTTATGGAATTGGTTAGGAGTATGTTAAGTAATTATTCGTTACCCATAATGTTGTGGATATTAAGTAATCTAAAGGGTACAAGTTTTAT